AACAAGCTGCTGCACAGCATGTGCCCATCTGTCAGAGGCCTGAGAAAGTAGCTGAAATAGCTACTAAAGTGCCCAAAAGTTCCCAGAGGAGGACTCGGCACTGTGCTGCTGTGTCCTGTATCACAGAGGTGAGGGGTTGTTTATCACACCGTTACACTCACTGTTCCTGTACTCACGTTTGTCTCTCCCATTCTGCGTCCCCCTTGTTGTCTTTATCTCTCACTTGATCATCTTTCATTGCTAATTATTCATTCTCGTCACGCATCTCTTTTCTCCTGTTCTCCTCCTCTCTCCTCGCAGGCTCAAACGGTTTGTAGCTCACATTTCACACTCTCCACCTGTATGTCCTTCACTTGTCTCCCCTCCTCCCCTTTGTTCTTCGTGGCAGGAGGAGCTGTAAACACTCCTGTTTATGTCTCCACATTTAGATTCAATACCATGTCTCAGGTTTATGGCGTTAAAAAATCTCCACTTCAAACATCTTTCACTAAAATCAGCGTTTGCTTACTTAGTGTACACTCATGAATAATAGATTCTGTAGGTCGTCTGAAGTGTCTTTAATTATGACAAGTATATTGTTGGGTGGCACGGTGGTGCAGTTGATAGAGCGGCCGCCTCTCAGTGAGAAGGTTGCTGGATCGAATTCCAGCCGGGGACCTTTCTAGGTGGAGTTTGCATGTTCTCTCTGTCATTCATGGGTTTACTTCGAGTACTCCAGTTTCCTCCCACAGACCAAAAACATGTATGTTAGACTGATTGGTGACTCTAAATTGTCCCTAGGTGTGAGTGAGAGAGTGAATGGTTGTTTGTCTCGTTTGTCTCCGTGTCCCTGTGATAGACTGGGGACCTGTCCAAGGTGTCCCTCGCCTCTCACACAGTGATTGCTGGAGAAGGGCACCAGTTCATTAAACCTTTATTTAGACAGGTTAATCCCATTGAGCCTCAGGGACTCATTTACAAGAGAGACTTGGTAAATGACCAGTGACCCCTGTAGTGGACTAAGCCCCCGCAACCCAGAAAGGAAGAAGTGGGTAAAAATAATTAGGGATGGGGCTGATCCGATCCAGTATCGATTCACAGCTGTTCCTACGGAGACGCTGAAAGGGTGCGTTAAATGGAACTCCGTACCAGTGGAGACACCTGCTACAGGTAAAGAGTCGATTTATACCACCTAAGTGTACCGAGGAGGAAGCTGGGATCTTAACGGAGAGTGCCGTTCTGATACCGACACATTTCCCTCATCCAT